ATGACGAGGATGTTTTTTGAGTCTCCTAATTTAGGGGGGATGGGAGCCAGATGGACAAGGGTGGGAGTTGGGAGAAAAAGGTACATGAAACAGGAGAGCAGGGTACGGGAAGTGGGAGGTTCTGACTCCCCTGTTCTCCCACTATTTATTGAGTGCTAACCTTAAACAGGGTTACTCAGGCTAACTGCAGTGAAAGACTGCACTCTGGTAGCCTGAATAGTGCACATTTACTGCCCTGAAAATCACTTAGGCTAACCTGAATATCATTTGGGTTAGCCTGAATAACATTTTTGTTTGCCTGTTTACAGTTATTTCTCATTGATGGAAATGGTAACATGATTCAGTTGAAAAGTCTGCAGGCTGCAGTCCGCAGTCTGCATTTTTCAGTGACCCCTTGTATTGCTGTTATCTTCTGATGTGGTATTGACCTCACACAGTGAGCTGAAAGTATCTGTGAATTAGTAGGAAAACACAGATCTGCAAATGGACCTTTGTAACAATGCCATACAATATCAACAATCTTTTATATTTTTCATATAAACAAAAAAACTATCTTCATAGATCAATATTTATTGTGCAGAATTTAGTAAATATGTGAAGTTTCTAAAGAATCCGTTACAAACTTATAGAAATATACAACTCCAAACTTGCCAATTTTTTTCAAAGAAATGTTTGTGTTACCCACTTGCATACATTTCTTTGGAAAGATTGGCAAGTTTGGGGTTCGTATTTTGAGTTTTTGTGAATTTTTATGACTGATGGGGCTTATTTTTTGTTTGCTGGGAATGAAAAAAATCAGAAAAGCACAACTTCAACAAAAAGGACCATTCAGTGAGATGGCAAACAGTAGAACCCCAGGGGGTTGTACACCTCTGTAAGTGACAAGGGGAGTGCAGATGAGGCCAAATTGGTAGAACCCAGAAAAAAAGTCCCATGGCTAAACCCAGACTCTAAACAGTACAACAGCTCAGACTGTAGCCCAGAAAAGGAATGTGCATTGATAAAGGTCGGAAAAGAGAGAGAGTGAAGAACCGTTTGTAGANTTTACTGCCCTGAAAATCACTTAGGCTAACCTGAATATCACTTGGTTTAGCCTGAATAACATTTTTGTTTACCTGTTTACAGTTATTTCTCATTGATGGAAATGGTAACATGATTCAGTTGAAAAGTCTGCAGGTTGCAGTCCGCAGTCTGCATTTTTCAGTGACCCCTTGTATTGCTGTTATCTTCTGATGTGATATTAACCTCACACAGTGAGCTTAAAGTATCTGTGAATTAGTAGGAAAACACAGATCTGCAAATGGACCTTTGTAACAATGCCGTACAATATCAACAATCTTTTATATTTTTCATATAAACTAAAAACTACCTTCATAGATCAATATTTATTGTGCAGAATTTAGTAAATATGTGAAGTTTCTAAAGAATCTATTACAAACTTATAGAAATATAGAACTCCGAACTTGCCAATTTTTTTCAAATAAATGTATGTGTTGCCCGCTTGCATACATTTCTTTGGAAAGATTGGCAAGTTTGGGGTTTGTATTTTGAGTTCTTGTGAATTTTTATAAGTGATGGGGCTTATTTTTTGTTTGCTGGGAATGAAAAAAATCAGAAAAGCACAACTTTGACAAAAAGGACCATTCAATGAGATGGCAAACAATAGAACCCCAGGGGGTTGTACACCTCTATAAGTGACAAGGGGAGTGCTGATGAGGCCAAATTGTTAGAACCCAGACAAAAAAGTCCCATGGCTAAACCCAGACTCTAAACAGTACAACAGCTCAGACTGTAGCCCAGAAAAGGAATGTGCATTGATAAAGGTCGGAAAAGAGAGAGAGTGAAGAACCGTTTGTAGATTAAACTGATACAGCTGCCATCATCTATAATCATATGAAAGCCAATCTTCTGAGCTGATTTCTGCTTTAGCTTAACAAGTGATTTAAATTCCTCTTTTAGAAAAATGGATGAAGGTGGACTTTTTCAAGAATGGTTTGACTCTATCAGCAGCATCCTAAAACAGAGTGGTGATTTGAAAGAGATTTCAACCCAGTTTGGTTTACTCAGATCAGATGAGGAGAGAGTCTCGTTTGGACTGAGTTTAGCATGTGTTCATGACGTTATAACTGTGAAGCCTTGCTTCAAACCAAAATCAGCTTTGGAGTCTGTCAAGTTGCGCAACGAAGGAAACAAACTGTTTCAAAAAAAATGTTACCATGAAGCTCTGGAGGTTTATTCCTGTAGTATTTTGAATGCACCGATTGAAAGTCATGGCAATGAACTTTCTCTCGCTCTTGCTAATAGATCCGCAGTGTCGTTTCACTTAAGAGAGCACCATCAGTGCCTGGAAGATATTCAACAGGCATTGAGTCATGGCTATCCATATGAACTGAGTTACAAGTTGTTTGATCGTCAAGGAAAATGCCTTTTTGTTCTTGGTCATGATAGTGAGGCATGGGATTGTTTTCAAAAAGCAAAGCAAGCATTGCATCAGTCAAAGCTTGATCACAAGAAAAAAGAAGTTTGGCTGAAAGAACTTGAAATGGAAATACACAGATGCCAAGAAACTAATACGGACAAAACCCACGTAATGCCAGGAGGTTTGACCTCAAACAATGAACAAGGCTTTAGTTTACCACAGCTTACTCGTAAAGAAAATAGCAAGTTTACATCAGCCTCTTGTGCTGTTGATATAACAACATCCCCTGTTGCTGGTCGACATCCAGTAGCAACTCAGGACATCTATGTGGGAGACATTCTAATCATTGAAAAGCCATTTGCTTCTGTTCTTTTGCCAAGACACCTAGAAACACATTGCTATCACTGTTTGAAGCGTGTCTCTGTCCCCTTACCATGCTACCAGTGCAGTACTGTCAGATATTGCAGTGATGCTTGTGCAAAAGAAAGCTGGGATTCCTATCATTCAGTCGAGTGCCAGTATCTTGACCTCATCCATGGAGCTGGGATTGGTGGAAATGCACACCTTGCTCTTAGAATAATAACAAAGGCAGGGTATAAATTTTTGAAGGATTTCAGACAGGAAATTCAGGAAGGATTGTATCACAGTAATAGTAGAGAATCGGGTTGCCGATGGGATGGAAGTTACATTTCATCTGATTACCTTCCGATCTACTGTCTTGTGACCCATTCTGAAGATAGGAGCATCAGTGATCTCTTCCGCCGCACAGTGATAGCCATGTTCTTGTTGAAGATACTTCAAGGGGGTGCCTTTTTCGGTAAGGATCCATGTTCTCTGGAAGACCTTGCTTTTATTGGCGGTCTGATTTTGCGGCATCTTCAATCGAATCCTTGCAATGCTCATGAAGTCTCAGAACTTCAACTGAATCTTAACTCTGTTGCCACATCAGAAACAGATGAAATTGCCTCAGGCATATACGCCACCCTTAGCCTGTTCAACCATTCATGTGATCCTTCGGTTACGAGGAACTTCTATGGTGACACATGTGTAGTACGAGCCATAAAGAACATTCCAAGTGGGCATGACATCTCTGATAACTATGGTACCCTTTCTGCTGTCACTGTTAAACCAGAGAGACGCAATAAATTAAAGAGTCAGTATTATTTTACCTGCCAATGTAGAGCTTGCGAGGAAGACTTTCCTTTGTATTCAGAGATACCTAGCACTGCCTCTCCAGTATACAAATGTGAAAACTGTTGTACACCACTTTACCTTGTCGACAGCTCTAAAGATAGAGCACTGTTAGTGGTTTGCAGTGAGTGTCAGTGTTCCTACAATCTGTCAGAAATGAGGGCCACCTTAAAAGCTTCCACAGATTTGTACCAGCAAGCCATGGATACCCTTCTCAACAAGGCAGATGTGAAAGGCACTTTGTCTGTGTTCATATCTCATCTGAGGCTTCTTGAGAAGTTAGTGTGTCGTCCCTGGAAAGATTACAACAACTGCCAGGAAGCCATCAAACAGTGTTACAGTATAATGGGAAACTGTCATGTAATGAAACTATAGGTTAGTTATTATTCATGTGCTCTTTTAGCTAAAAGGTTATTTCTTTGAAAATGAACCCTTTTAAAATAGTTCATACAACAAGTGAACAATAATATTGAACTGTTTTGCACACTTGGCGGACCTATGTGTTAGCAGAGGTTATGAAAAAAACTACAGTAGTTCCAGAAAATATCCATAACACCCCCACGGAAGACTCCCACCCACCCCTCTGGAAACTCCATTCCTTTCAATTTTCTGGTGTTATAATCTGGTGAATTTAATGCTGGGGGGTAACCT